GCTTCTATACGGACGTCCGCGTTCAACTCTCCACTCTCCACGCCTTTGTTTACTCTAGTTAGTAATCCATGAGCAGCCTTGTACACTAACTTTGTTAACTGCCCATCGCTCTCGTGTAAGATGCTCTTGTCACCATCAGCTGTGTAATCATTTGCATTAGGATCGCCAGTTAAAATTAGCCTCAACTGCTCTGCTTCTGCGTAGTTGCCATAACCACCCTCATTGTTGTTGTTGTTGTTGTTGTTGTTGTTATTATTATTGTTGTTGTTCATCATATTCATATCATCATCTAGCTGAGAATGTGTCAAAGACAGTCGAGTTGCATTGTAGAAGCCGCGATAGTATTGAGTGTCATAGTCATATCCATCACATATGGCAGCCTTCATCTCACGTGGCCAGCCGAGAATACTGGCTATAGCTGATTGTTTACGGTGATCCTCGGTGTTGATTGATGACAGTCCAAGTTTATCAATTGTAGGACACAGTGCTCTCCGTCTGTTCATAACATTGTCAATAGCAGCAGCATTAGTATTTGCATTCTCATTAATGTTGGCAGCATTTTGTTGTGATAGATCAACTCTGTGCCAGTGGCGATATTCTGTGCCTGGAAAACGAACAAGCTGCTGCACTGCACATTCTTTGTAGCATGCCTCTAGGCTGTCTCTATGCTCTCTATGATTCGACTTGACATGCTTCTCCATCGTCGATTGTTTGTGGCTATAGTATGAGGTGTTGTTGTTGTCGCAGATTGTGCAATAGTATCCATTGTGCCACTTGAGTCCAGCAATAGGGCGAATAGGTTGTTGCTGTGGCTGTGAGAGAGACTTCAATGCACGGGTGAGCATTTTGTTGTCGGTAAACAGCCCATCTATTCCATAATAACACATGACAGTAATATCTGTTGCATCATCATCTGTTATCTTCAGACTATGCTTCTTGACGTGCCCTTGAATTGATTGTGGCACTAAGTTACATGTCTCACATATAACCACTCCAAGCAATTTGTTATATATAAGATTATACTTTGTCAATACTCGATCACGATCGATGTCATTCTCACAGCAATAAACAGTGCCATTAGTAGCAGTAGAATCATTATCATTATCATTATCATTATCATTATCAATACCATTATCAATATCATTATCAACATCCATATCATCATCGCTCATATTAGTGCCGTCTTGCTGCTGCTGTCGCTGTTGTTGTTGCTGCCGTCTTTGCAATGCCTTATTCCACTTCTCCATGGTATGATCTTTTAGCCGTCCAGCATGATCTTTGATCAATTTGGCTGATATATTTGTATGTTTGCAGAGTGGACATTTGAACAAGCCATTGATGCGATGTACTTCCATTGGTTCAGGTTTGAGTGATCCATCTGCTTGTTTGATTTTGAATCTCAGAGTTGCTCTTTGTACATGAGTACATTGGCGATGTTGGAACAGTTGATCTCTTGTATAGAAGACAGCGTCACATTCATTGCAGTGACTCGGCTGTTGTTGTTGTTGTTGATCAGCTGGTCCAGCATTGCCTTCGTCAAATAACATGTCGCTAGTACTACCACTCACAGTGTCGCTGCTAGTGTCGCTGCTAGTGTTGCTGTTGGTAGTATCGTTGCTGTTGGTGCTGTCGCTGGTGCTGTTGGTAGTGTCGCTGGTAGTGTCGTTGTTGCCAGTGCTGTTGTTGCCGCTGTTGTCATCGTCGATGTCTTCATTCTCGTTGTCATCATTGTCGTCGGCAATGACAATGATAGATGGTGAATATGGAACATTGTCGGTACGGGGTTGACGGCGAGCGATAGGAGACATCTGGCTCGAGCTGTTGTTGATGCGACGGCGTTTGTTGCTATTGTAGTCGTCGCTGACATTACTGCTATTGTAGTAGTTGCTGTAGTTATTGTTGGCACTGTAGGAATTGTTCAACCTCTCTAGCATACTATCCTCTGAGCTTTCACTGATGCTCTCACAGTATGCGTTGTGGCGCCAGTTGTTGGAAGGGTAGTTGTTGTTCATCTCGGCGCTGAAGAGGCTGGAAGTCGGTCGTGGTTGTAGTGGTGGCAGTGGTAGCTGTGGCTATGCGTGGCTATGCGTGGCTATACGTGCTGATCTGCGTCAATCGTCGTGATCGAGCGTGTTTGTTTGCTGGTTATATGAGAAGGAAGGCAGATCAGACTGCAAGTAGACAAAGAGAGAGAGTGTGTGTGTTTACCAAACAAGAAGAAGTGTAAACAAACAAACAGTCATTTGCTAGCATTGTTGACTTCAAAGTAAAAAAAAAGATAGTAACGAGAGTTTAAGTTTAAGTTTAACAGTAGCGCGCAGTGAAAGTGCTAGACATGGATCAGAGCATTGGTCTTGGAGATGGAGCTTGCACTTCTCATTGCGATGCTTCTTTTGTGGCAGACGATGCTTGACAATAGTCTTGAATGCAGTGTGCAAATATGTCTTGACTTGTTGTTCCTCTGTTCCTCTATTGACTGGTGGGACTTGGAGACAGCTTGCCGTGGTGAGGATGTACGCAGGTCTTCAACGTAGAAGTGGTGGATAGTGTGTACATACACTGCAGTTCTTGTCGATGAATGGATGCTATTCTTGGTGGTAACACTTGATGATTGTCATCTCACTTGGTGCCATTGTTGGTGAGTGTTGTGCCAGCTAGTCTGATATAGTGCCATTGCTGGTTGTGTCTTTAGTTGCCGTGTTATCTGTATCAAGTGTAGTTGCAGCAGTTGCAGTGCTGTTTGTCTTTCGAATACTGCATATCTTCTGTTGTTTGATAAGTCCATTTCAGTTGGTTGTAAATGGAGTAGTATAATATCACGTCGCATCGCATCGCATTACGCTAGAGCAGCCAACGGTTGCAGCAACTCTTATACTGCTGCAATGAGTGTTGTGCCAGTAAGTGTGAGGAAGTACTGTGCGTGCAGTGCAACTCTTGCTGTAGCATAAAGTATCATTTCGCCATATACATTTGCATCAAGTGTTGCAGCAGTTGCAGTTGTAGTTGAGCGTTGATTGTATTATGAATGCTATGCCGTATATGTTGTTGTCTGATAAGTCCATTGCAGTTGGCTATACACAGAGTGCCATCGTTGCGAGTTGCTGCAGCTGATGTTAAAGTAGAGTGCTCTTCTGTTGTTGTAGCTGATAGTTCATTCGTCATCGTGTTGGTAGTAGTAGCAGTGTCCATCGCATCGCATCACATCGCATCGCATCGCATTGTAGCAGTCCTCAGTTGCAGTATAAGAGGTGATGCAATGAGAGACATAGTTTCTCCTAGGGATGGTGGAGTGTAAATCAAGTTGGTGATGGTGTTGACGACGCGTTGGAGATGCAAATGGCATACCAGTGTATAGCTACTCTCTCGCTCTGGTTGTTGGTGCTGGTATTGGCGTTGTCGGCTGAAGGAATCATTCATAGTCGAGTATCTCGTAGCTGAGAAAGATGAGCTGGAGGAAGATGAGAGGTAGCTGTAGTTGTTGATCTTGTTCTTGGTCTTGTTGCTCTTGATGGAAGTCATCTAGTTGAGCGATCGTTGACTGTAGTCTTGCGATGAGGCCGTGCATCGCGCATACTGGTAGTAGTAGTAGTAGCTGTTGTCATCGTCGCGTCGTATTGTGTTGTGTTGTTTCTTTTTTGTTGTAGATTGAGGTTGTCAAAGGAAGAGCGATTCAGTCTGCTAGTGTGGAATAACAAACAAACACGCACAGTGAGCGACAACTTCTGTGGTAGATTTCAACGTGTGTAGAGTAGTTGAAGATTGTTTTTATCTGCAGTCTTGTTAGGTAAAGTGAGTACGCTCTTTCCAGTGGTGGTATTCATTTTGCTGTTGGTGGTCTCTGTCAGAAGTTGTTCTTTTCAGCAGCAGCTTTGGAGATGGAGTTGGCGGTTGTTCAGTGTGTAGTCATATAGTTATTGTTGTTGTAGTTGCTGCTAGTAGCTGGTGATCGAGCGAGCAAGTGGAAAAGTGCTGTAAAGATGATGAGTAGAGTGCAGCGTATGTGTGTATAGTGTATGTGTGAGTGCAAGTGTGAGTGTGTTCTTTTGTTTGTGTTTTGTGTGTGTGAGTGTTTATGTGTGTGTGTGTGTTTGTTTGTTTTTCAAACGAAGTGAAGAGTTGTGCATCTACTTTTTATGTTGTGGTGTTTGTGAGTTCTGACTATTTGAGAGTTTACGACGGCAGTATCAGAAGCAGTGGTGGTGATGTGCTGCAGCGGGGGTTGATGCCGAGAGGTGGTGAGCGAAGCGAGCGAGGGAGTTGTGTTGAAAATTTATTTCGAGGCAAATTTGCGTGCACATTTGTGTGTGGTTGTGGCCGACCCTGCGTCGTGCGGGCAGCAGTCAGGGTGAGCGTAGCGCGTGTAGCGCGTTTTTCAGCGTATTCCACTTTGCGTGTTCCAGCTCCACGTTAATTTGCAGCGGTTTTACGTAAAACCGGCCGGAATACGCCCTGATTCCAACGCGAATACCTACACACAAGACAATACTGTCAACTTTCCCAGTTGATGTTAATTCTTTTACACATTTTATCCTTTCACTATTCTTTCAAATCCCGTCATCCTCATCTCAACAGACATTAAGCAATGTCACCAGAAATAGCTAGACCGGGAGACACATTAGTCCTCCTCAACACCTGTACAGCGAGTTTCTGCTAATGTTGACAAAGCAGCTTTTGTGACAGACTTCAACTTGCAGAGCAGTAAACGACTGTTGCTAGTTGCCGGCCCGTTTGATAAAGCGGCTACACACTTTCCGAGAGTGGTGTTTGCTCTGCTATCGGTCGAGTCAATCACGAGTTGGTCATTTCGGTTACCACGATAGAAACGACGCTGACAGTCATTCTCATGGTGTATTTCTATAGCATTGTAGTTTTTAGCGGTGGTGATACTTTTAATACTAGTTTGTTAGTTTGTTTGTGTTCGCTTGTGCGTCATGAGTCATGATCAGAGAAGATAACTCCACATCATTTCGGCGATATACCTACGCGAGAACAAAAGATATCACCGATGCCGGGAGTCGAACCCGGGCCAATGGTGTGAAAGACCACTATCCTAGCCGTTGGACCACATCGGTTTCTTTTGTTGGTCAATTTTTAGTTATAAATACCAGGTGGCTGACTCAAACAGATGCTCCTGTTCCCATCTATAAGGTAAAGTGACATTCAATTACTCTGCCAGAATATCTACTTAATGATTTGTAACATCTGATTCAGAGTGTAAGGAGTGATTACTGGGAATCCAAGTTGATACACTTTACTAGTATCATAAAAATGAATGCAAAACAAAAATATAATGCGCCGTCCGGGAATCGAACCCGGGACTACTGCTTGGAAGGCAGTTGTTTTACCTCTGAACTAACGGCGCTTGTTTTGCAATTTAAATTATACTTATTTATCTGCAACATTTGTCACAACATTCTATTTTCTTTTATAAGATGTGTCGCAACCACCGTCAATTGTATGATTTAGTAGAAGTTTCCACTAGTTCCCTTGGTGGGGGCTGTGATGTTGTGTGGTTATCGCCTCAGTTAACAGAACATTTGTGAGACCACTAATGCACTGAATTATCACTCACATCATAAAATCGAAAGACTGCGTAGCTCAATCGGGGGAGCATCGCCATTCTCAAATACAACAAGGTTTCTTAGGCGAAGGAAGTGAGATCGAAACTCACCGCGGTCG